CCCGCAGCGTACTGGCAGCTCTGTAACTCCATCTCCAGACGGTAAAGCTGCTCGGCCGTGAAGGAGGTGCGGGTCCGCTTGGGACGGTCCAGATCAAGCCCCTTAGGCAGAATAATCTCTCTGATTGAACCTTTGGCATCTGGCAAAGAAAGGCGCAGTCAGCTTTACACTCAGAAACCCTCCTATCATCCTCCCCCCTTTTTTTTTTTTAATTTTCCGTCTTCAAGAGGGAGACTTGAGTCAGGATGGAGTAGAGTCTCTGAGACTGCGGCACTGCACCTGGCTGCTACAGCCAAGGATGAAAAATAAAATAAAATAAAATAAAACAACAGAGAAGGGAGGAGTAGGGCCAGGGCTCTGGAAATAGTCCCAAATTGGCTTCAATGTATTGCACTGACAGTAGAACGCTGCGACATCACCCACGGCCCCTCTGGGAGGCTGAGGAGAGATCCTCCAGGCCGGGCTTTGTGACTGGAGTGCAGGGCTACTCTTTGTTCCCTCTGGGCTCCAGGTTAGGGCTTGCTGGAAGCCACCACATGCACCCTGCCACCCCTCCAAAATATAAACCTTTCTTTTTTTCTTTTTTCTTTTTTTTTTTTTGGTAGAGCAAGTTTTCCATGCACCCAAAAAAAAAAGCCATTAGGAGCTCTCGGGGCACAGGCAGCGCTGCCCGCGGGCTGGCTGCTTTCCCACCGCGGAACTGGGGACACCTCCAGCCCACCCAGCAGCCGGAGAAAGCATCGCCGCCGCAGCTGCTTTGGGGTTTTGGCAAACAGGAGAAGGACAGAAGAAAAAAAAAATCCACAACAAACAAGGCACCAAACAGCCAGCAGAAACCTCACTTTTCTGGTAGCCCCGACCCAAAGCAAGCGGGACAAATCTTATTAACAGGACTGTCAAGCTAGAGCCAGATTCGTGTTACATTAAAGCCTTCCCAACTTTGCTTTCCGTAATTTTACCTCCTCGGTACGTTTTAAATCGGAGACAACCACATCATTTTAATCTGACCCCTCTCCTGGTCAATCGGTCGCGCAAGGATTAATTATTGTTTCCAAGGCCTGCTTCGCACTCATTTTGTTCAGATTCTGTTCTCTCCCTCCTCCCCCAAAACGCACCTTAATAAAACTGAAATTTCTTCAGGTAATTTCTGGGGTTTTTTGGAGGAGTCAGGAATAGAATGATTTAGTTAGTTTAGCCTGGGAGGGAGACGAGGTCTGAGGAAAATAAAACGTGCAACTATTTAAAAAAATAATTTTAAAGCCCTTCGTCATCCCTCTGTTGATTTTAAGGCTGGTGGCTATTTATAAACACATCTTTCTGCTGGGGTGTTGGGTTCGGGGAGAGGAGGGACAGCGGGAACCCCCTGCCCTGCGGAGGGGACC